TTGTTCCTACAGTGAGAGACCTCTCGCTACAGCAACAAGGCGACATTTTCACCCTTCTCCCCCAGTGCCCTCTCAATGTAGCGATAATTCTCTGTAGCAACATTCATACTTAACCTGTTTTCAGCCCAATCAATTCAATCCAATTATATATATATATATATATATGTATATATATATATATATACATATATATATATATATGTATATATATATATATATATAGACACACACATATACACATCTATATACATTATACCCACAAACATCATCATTACACATTTAAATGCAAATTACGTCTTTAACATTTACACGTATATATAAACACATATACAAATATTAATAATAATTAATATTACAAAATTCGGGACGTTACAATTTGTGCTCTAGGACTTGACTTGTAACTGAATTAAGGCTACTTTTTTTTTATTGTATCTTTTAGTATGATTGAGGCATAATAGGATTTTTACTCTTGAGCTTCAACTTGTTTGAGATATACTAGTTGTTCGCTTTGAGCTTTATTAATTTTTCTTAGTCCCTTATATTGAAATTATGAAATACTTTGATAACCTTGAGTTTATGAATAGAGCAATTGAGTGTTTGAATTATTTGATAAATTCTCCTCCACATCTCTTATGTGGAAAAATAAAGAAAATATATACAAATATAAAAGAAAATAAAAATAATAAAAAGAAAAGAAAAAAAAAGGTTACAAATGAATGAAAGGAATGAGGAGTAAAGAAATTGTTGGAATGCTAAATATTGAAATTACTCCAAGAGCTTCATTTATAAACTTAGGGGATATTTGTATTGTTTATGACTTATTATCCCTTTGTATATCCTTCTTTTTATTTATCTCATCTTTATTATTACAAAAATTTGGGCACATTACAACTTACAAAAGACCTCATGTTTTTACTTGCATTCAATTTATTTAGTGGATAGTCTATTTATGGTCAAGCCTATAGTAATACAATTTTCTTTGGAAGAACAAAGTAATATCTTCTTTTGTCCTTAGACACTTAGAGAAAGTAGAAAGTAAAGTACCCTAGTTTGATGTTTGAGTAAAAAGTTAGCGAATATAAGATTCTAATTGAGAAACCTTTTGATTACTTATGCTCAAAGATATTTCTCTTCTTGTTCTTTTTATCTCATTTGTCTTAGTTCCTTATTATGGTAATATTTTTTTTTTAACTTATTCTATTACTCATTTAGCCAGGACTTTGCTTGAGGGCAAGCAAATCTTAAATATGAGGAAGTGACATGCTTTTATAACCAATATATTTATGTATGGCTATTATTTTAATTGAATTTTACACTAATTTATATATTAACTATGTTGTTTAGCATAAGAAATCTATAGTTGAGTTTTGGATGCATTTTGGACCTAAATTGGTTGAAAAATAGAGCTTTACAATAGCGAGCACGTCTATACCTTAGCAGCCAACACGGAGGTGCTTCGATCTACTTGCACAGTCGTGCTTATAGCCTTACATAACCGTGCTCACTTGTGAGAAGTCCAACTATGAAGAAATTTAATGATTTTCAACCCTATTAAAAGAGACCTCAGGGAAAGTAGCTCATCATTTCTGTTTTTTCTTCTTGTTTCAATCTCATTCCTTCCATGCCTTTTACATATCTCTTTCACATTTCCAATCTTGGTATTGGTAAGTTGCTAACGACTACAGGAGTTTTAGGAGCGCTTCAGATCAAGAGCTATTCTCATCTCTTTTATATTGGAGCCTAATCTAGTTTGCATTTACTTTTCAAGTTCGATGGATTTGTTTAGTATTATTTTTGTTTTTTTTTATATTATGTTTAGTTAAATTCATAGTTAGGGCTATCGTGAATTCTTTGCATGACTTTATGAGATTTTTTTCATTAATAATAATTTTATGTTTCCTTTCTTTTTTGGTGTTTACCATATTGTCCTATATTTATATGTTTGGATTTAACACCTCTTAAACGTATCATAATTAAATATATTGTAGGTGACCTACTACATAGAGTTAATGGTTCTATAGGATAAAACGAGACAAAAAATTGTGTTTAGGACTTTTTCTTTAGACCTTCATTTCCTTTGATTTTTAATAAATTATATTTGTAATATTTAATAGTTAATTCTCTCAATCTTATTTTTCCTTAATGTTAAATTTAAATTGAAAAAATATATTTCTATTTTATGAATGAAACTTACCGGTAAAATTTTAAGATTTTGCTAGCTTCTATTGTCTTAAGATTTAAATCAACGTGAGTATGGGCAATTTCAATAGAAAAAAGTATAGTTATTGAGCATAAAAGAAATACTAATTAAAGTCTAAATGTGATTTGTATCTACATACCTAAAAATATTAGTCTCATGATCTATATGATTTAATAAATTTTTAATTCTAATAAATATTTTTGTTTTCAAAATTAATCTCTATTAAAAAATTATTAATATTTAGTCCTTAAATTTTTAAAGAAGTAAAAATGATTACATGTAAAAGAAAACCACGAAAAGATAATTGGTGTGATTTGCTAAGAAAATGGTGTCATGAAAAACTAACGAGATTATGTATAGATAGTTATAGAGATTCACTGGGGTATAAAGTTCAGAGACGATTTAAAAATTTTGGAGGAAAAAGGGTGGTGAATGTTCTTCGTAGTGTGTGCACATGAATTGCTAAAAACAATAGCATCACAGGTCTCACACTCATTTCGTGACTAGACTCCTGACTATACCTTTGTTAGAAGAGGCCAAGTGGACACACATTGTCTCCGTGTTGATCCAGCTAACTGACTCAAGGAATCCCCGGGCAACGAGTGTGGAATTGTGATGTGTCATTACACAATGATTGTGTGATTATAATGCGTGTGTTGTAATATATTGATTGGTGTATTGTAATACATCGACTGGTGTAATGCATGTATTATATTGTATTGATTAATAGGATTAGAACGCACGTGTTATGGCATAATTGATTGATGTAAAATTATATGAAACGGCATGGTGTTAGGGTATGAATTAAATATTAATGGTGTGATTGTTATGACATTTGATCTACTGAAAATTCATTAATATAATATATGAGTTAGCATTATTTTGATGTATATTGCATGTGATGATGTTTCTGTATTACATGTTTCATTCATACAGTAAAGGATTTAGTGGGGTGGTGAATACTCACCCATACAACTATTTTTCAAGAATTGAAATGAAAGATGATTCGTTATAGGATCATATTCTCAGTGGTGTCACAAGTAAGAATATGCTTTATTAGGATTTAAGTTACATTAAGGTTATAATAATTTTGATTAAGTCCTAATTAGAAATTAATTTTTGGTTTGTAAACAATTTGATGTTAACTTTAGATACTTAAAAGATTTGATAAAGTTTACTGTAAATAATGATTTAAATTATATTTGTAATATTTAATAGTTAATTCTCTCAATCTTATTTTTCCTTAATGTTAAATTTAAATTAAAAATATATATTTCTATTTTATGAATGAGACATACCTGTAAAATTTTAAGATTTTGATAGCTTTTATTGTCTTAAGATTTAAATCAACGTGAGTATGGGCAATTTCAATAGAAAAAAGTATAGTTATTGAGCATAAAAGAAATACTAATTAAAGTCTAAATGTGATTTGTATCTACATACCTAAAAAAATTAGTCTCATGATCTATATGATTTAATAAATTTTTAATTCTAATAAATATTTTTGTTTTCAAAATTAATCTCTATTAAAAAATTATTAATATTTAGTCCTTAAATTTTTAAAGAAGTAAAAAGTTATTACCTTTTAACAAAATTTTGAGCAATATATAAGATTAACATTTTGCCCTTTTAAAATGGCAGAAATTAAATATACTAACAAATTTTGTATACACAAGAATCCTTAAAGCAAAACATTTAAAAAACTAAAACTTTAAAAATATTTTGAAAGAATAATATTTAAACTAAATATGATAGTAAAACATTTGATAAGAATAGTGTATAACGTTTCTAAAAATATTTAAGATATACAAGATCTACTTTTAATACTCTTAAAAAGAAAAATTCTAAAAAGAAAAAATAAATTCAAGAAGTTAAAAACAATTCATATGCAAAACGCCTTTTTACTTGTATAGAAATTTTGATTGTAACACAATGTTCATTTTGTTTCTTTAAAAAATTAAAAATTGTTTTGCAAATATTTTCAAATAATTTTTTGTTGATTTTTATAACGGTTTTCTCCATGTAAATATGTAGATTCATATTTCATCGTAACCAAACCAATTGCCAAACTTCGTCTTCTATCTTTTCCTTAGTGTTTTTGTTGTTGTGGTCCACATTAGCTATAATGTTGGTCCAATTTTTTTCAAAAGCAGGAAAAAATCAGCTAACAAACAAATGAACAGTTACAAAAAAGAAGTATAGTTGTTGATGGTAAAAGAATTACTAACTAAAGTCTAAATGTGATTTGATATCTAAAGACCTACAAAATTAATTAGTCTCGTGGTTTATAGGATTAAATAAATTTTTATTCAAGTAAATAACTTTATATTTAAAATCGATCTCAATTAAAAATTATTAATATTTAGTCCTTAAATGTTTAAAGAAGTACCTACCAAGAATTATTTTAACAAAATTTTGAACAATATATAAGATTAACTTTTTACCTTTTTAAAGTGTTAGAAATTAACTATGCTAACAAATTTTGCGTAAACATGAATTCTAAAAGAAATAACATTTATAAACACTTAAACTTTAATTAAGACTTGCTGATATCAGTAGATTTTTTTTTTTTTAATACATCTTTAAAGCATTAGACATATGAATATCATATGAAAAGAAAATGATTGTGCTTTCTAACTGCTATTATTCTTTCCTCTTTGAAGCACCTCTTCAAATTATATGCAACAAAGAAACTCTATAGCAAGCATAATGATGACGAAAGAAATTATGATATTTATATTGTCATGGACTAGTTGTCTCAACAATCGATTGACTTTACAAGTGGAGACACAAAATAACTTTACATTGAATTTTTAATATCCTCATGTAGTCTCTCTGCCAAATAAATGTAGAAATGTCCCATAGCTCCAGTAAGAAACTCGTTTCTATATCTAGATTCTATGGTCAAAGTTTCACCATCATTAATTTTGATAGAACCTGGTTGCGGATAACAAACAGACATTCCAACAGCATAACCATTTTCATTTCCTGGTTCCTTTCCTGTTCCATATTTTGGTGTTGAAGTACATAAAGTCCTTCCATCCTAAATTAATTAAAAATAAATAAACTTTAGAAGTGAAGATGCATTACGATATTTTATTACTCACAATATCATAAAATGAAGAAAATTTATTACATAAGATATAAATCAAGCACAAAGTTTCAAAAATTTAATCTAGTACTATTCATAGAGTATATAAGAATTATGACAAATAATATTGCATATCACCTGCCCATATAGAGTTGCATTCACAACAACTGTATGCATATGAGTAGTGCCATAGATGAGATAACCACCCTTCTCCATTTTGATTTTTGCCTTTTGGACATGAAGAGAGTCACTACTACCATTCGGCAAAATGGTGTACTCTGCCTGCAAGGAATTAAAAAATCTTTGTTGCTTAATATTCCTCCACAAAGTAATAGACAAATGTTATATTTTGTAATTTAATTGATGCAAAAAGTGTACTTAATTTTTGTAAAATATTGACTTGAATAACTTATCTACCTGACAATCATGAATTGTGTGAGAACCATTTGATCTCATTTTATCAGTTGAATCAAGTATATAGACCTTAAGAGGTACTTGGTATTTGTCCCATTCAACCCATCTTATTTTGTATCTTAAAGAAAGATTTCTCTTTGGACCTTGAAAACCCTCTTTTAGTTTGCATGTTAGGTTGTCTTGACAGCAAAAGAGTCCTCCTTTATAATCTGTGGTCAATGGTTGACCATGAATGTCCTTTGTTACATTATAAAAGTCATTTGGAAGATTAAAAAGGTCACATCTACATTCACTGCAACCTTTCCTATCTTGTGTACCGCGTGTATCAATGACCATGATGCTAAACAACCATTTCTCTTCATACCCATTTGGAATTTGTGTAGGGTTACCCAGTTCTACGGCAAAAGGATCTGGAATGTTTGAAGTTGTTCCTCGTGATTCACTTCCAAAGCCCCAATAATGTGGAAGTAAAAAGTCATTGCATGTGCCGTCATTTCTCTTGTAAATGAAACCATCAAGAAGACTGTGATGAAGCTTAGGATTGTGTGCCATGGTAGTATTTTCAAAGTATTTTATAGCAAACCAATGATGAAGATAAGCTTCATACAAAGGTATAGAATTCCCTTCTTGATCAACAAGTTCAGCATCGAAACTCTTAATTCCGATATGACCTTTTGGAAACTCAATATTCATTAACGTTTTTGATGCAACTGTTCCTGGTCGCAATTCAAAACTTTCAGACACAAAAGTGGCTGTTTTGATAGGATTTCTTAGCTCTTGATAAAGTGAGTATGATGTGCTTGGTAGCAATAGCATTATTGATATTATAAGTGTCATTGCTTGAGAAATAAACTTTATCAGAACCTGTATATAAATAAATAGTAGTAAATAATTAGCTACGAATTATGTTTATGATGCTATTCTTTGGGGTAAGCTTAGAGATATAATTCAAAACATATACACTAAAAAAAAAAAAAAAGGAAGATTACGTAAATTTAGAAAAGACTGTGAAGATAAAAATTGCATACTGTGTGAGAAGACGGTGAGGGATTGAACATGATGGAGATTTGGTCTTTGCCAATGTCTAAACAATGATTAAAATTGTTAACTTGTGATTAAAGATAAGTTTGAATGATGGAGATTTTGTTCGATGCTTTTATAGTGAAAGATTTTGCAATAATATAGCTGGCCTAACTAAACAAATTCAAGAAGATGTCAAATATTTGTTTATATCGGGAGCTGTATATGTTTAGTTAAGATTTTCAAGTAAATTGTTTGGACAAAATTTGTTAATATTGGCAGAGATATCAAATGATGCAAAGCATCGACAACTGTCAAAATTTATTTATAGAAGGTAAGGAAATTTTAGGAGTTTATTTCAACATAAGTCCCTTTATAACTTTTTGTTTTTTGGATAGTTTGTTAAGAGTAGTTTTCTCTTATAATTATAAATAATATTTTATCCAAAGGTGTAGGAATCATGTCAAAAAGCAAAATGCTACCCAATGCATTACATTTTACTTTTTCTTTTTCTTTTCTTGTAATTTTAGTTGAATACAAAATATATCAAAGAACATGCTAGTAATTTTTCATTATTTAAAGTTATGTTTTTAATTTTTGTTAAGTAAATATTAGGTAGATACAATATGTCAATTTGTTAATTGGTGGACATATTGGATAACCATTAAAATGAAAAACTACAAAAAAATAAAATAAGTGTATAATTATATCCAAGTGCCAACAATCCTTTTTCCTTGATGTACAAGATTACTTATCTATTATCTTGTGTATCTCAGCTTTTTTTCTTTTATAAGTGTTTTAAAATATTTATTTACCATTGCATGATTTACTAAATCAAAAAGTGATACTTCCTTTTATTCTATGCAAAATGTGAAATTTATTAATAAAATGATAACATATAATTTAATAAAAAAAATATCTATTACATTTATATCACAAGTACATAAATATTTTATCTATGAATCGTGTCAAAAGGTAAAATGATACCCAATGCATCACATTTTACATTTTCTTTTTTACTTTTAGTTGAATACAATATTTATTAAAGAACATACTAGTAATTTTTCGTCATTTAAAGTTGTGTTTTTAATATTAGTTTAGTAAAAATTAGTTAGATACATTAAGTCAATTTGTTCGTTGGTTGGATATGAGATAACCATTAAATTGAAAAAAATAAAAATAATTAAATATATTCTAGTGTCAACAATCCCTTTTCTTTAATATACAAGATTATCTATCTACTATATTTTGCATCTCAGTTTTTTATATGTGATTTAAAATATTTTTTTTACTATAGTATGATTTACTAAATCAAAAAGTGAGACTTCCTTCTATTCTATTTTATCATATATATTAACAATGCAAAATGAAAAATTTATTATAAAATAATAATTTAAAATTTAAGAAAAAAATATCTACATCATATTTATACCACAAGTGCATAAAGTTTTATCTAGAAAATTGTTCTTTGTTCTGTTTATAATATTTTATTTTATTTTGTAATTTTTCGTGTTTGTTCCTAAAATAAATTAAAAAATCTACAGGATTACATCAATACTCTTTTCAAAAGGTTGCTATGGTTTTTTTGGTTATTAATTATCATATATGTGAACTACTAATTTTGAATAATGTATGTCTTGCAGCATGAAAATAGGAAAGGCGAAACTTTAGGATATATAATTTTTATTAAGAACGAGAAAATGTGATCTATAGCAATGTGACTGTAATATGTGAATTAGTTTTAATACATTCTTAACCATATGATTGGAGCTGAGTCCGAAGGTGTTTGACCTTTGAAAATTTGTTTTATGATTTGACTGTAATTAGATGGTATGTTATATTGAGTGTGTACTGTTGTTTAGAAATTTATATATGTTTGAGTATCCTCTAAAAAGAGTAGAAATATGACTTTTGAAATTATATGATTTGACTTCTGAAATTATATTGAAATTATATGTTTTTAATTTTTGTTAAGTAAATATTAGTTATATACAATATGTTAATTTGTTCATTGGTGGACATATTGTATAACCATTAAAATGAAAAATTAAAAAGTGTAATTAATTATATTCAAGTGCCGACAATCTCTTTTTCCTGTTGTACAAGATTACTTATCAATATCTTGTGAATCTTAGTTTTTTTTATTTTATAAGTGTTTTTAAATATTTATTTATGATTGTATGATTTACTAAATCTAAAAATGAGATTTCCTTTTATTCTATGCAAAATGTGAAATTTATTAATAAAATAATAACATATAATTTAATAAAAAAATATCTATATTACATTTATATCACAAGTACATATATTTTTTATTTAGAAAATTATTCTTTGTTCTTTTTATAATGTTTTTAGTAATTTTACGTTTTTTTTCTAAAATAATTTGAAAAATCTACAAGATTACATCAATACTCTTTTCAAAGCAATATTTTAGAATAATTTTTTGAATTTTGGTAAAGGAGAAAAATGTATTTTTGAAATATATTAATATAAGAAATATATTTTTTAATCATTAAGTGTAATGGAAGATCTTAATATCTCTTTTAATCAAGAGAAAAATAATCAAGATTTAGAAAATAAACTTAACCTTAACCATGGTTTAAAGATATCTTTATAGGATTATGAAATATGGTGTTTTTCTTAAAAATCTATTTTAATTTATAAACTTTTTGAGAAAACAATAAATTTGAAGTATATGGAGCAAAAGATAAATTATTTATGGGATAAGAATGAGTTAAAGTGTTAGATTTAAATAATAATTTCTTCCTTTTTCATTTTTTTAATATGAGCAATTGTTATCTTACTTTGAATGAGGAGCCATTATTGATGTTAAACCAGTACCTCTTAGTTCAAAGTTCGATACCTATTTTAAACCATCTCATTAATCTTTTAAGAAAGTAAAAGTGCCTTATTTGGATATGAGAAAGGAAAGGAGGAGTTCGGAAAGTTAAACAAATTTAAATGCTCAAAGTGTGGGGAGTCAAATCACAAGCTAACTTATCTAATTGTCAATTCAAGTTTTATCTTTTTTTTTTAATTTATTTAATTTCATAAACTAGATATATTCATTCTAATTTTAGTTAAAAAATAATTTTTTCGTCATTATTTATTTAAAGTGAGTCAATTTTAAAAAATTAAAATTAATTAAATAGCATGGAAGATTATTTTGGCCCACATACGACTGTGGATCAACATCCCTCATTATTGATTTTCTATTTTTTAGATTTTAAAAATTTTCATCCAAACACAACTGTAAGGTTAGGTGGCCTAGACTGTAATCAACACTTGACGGATTCAAGGTTTACAGTATTCCAATCAACAAATAGGTAAAGTAACTCTCCTCCAGGATGACACAAGTTGAGTAAAGAATGATTTCGCAGCACCTACTCTTTTAGGAGGCCAAACAATAGAGTTGGGATTCAACTACAAAGAAGATAATCCTTCTGATTTAAGTACTCTTGACAGCTCCTATCCTTTGTGGAGGCCACACAACATGCGTAACCCTTCCTCGAACTAGAGCTAAAGGAATCTGCAAATATATTTACCAGGTTACCTTACACCAAAATTAAAAGGAACACTATTAGCAATTACCCACATCCCAGTATAGACAAACTCCACAACATCCAATCCGTAACATTTTCTGTCAAGGCTGACAATGTGGCATTCCTAACTACTTCAATAAAGAATTAACGCAGCACATGAAAATTTATTTACCAAAAATAGAAAAGGTTAGTTAAAAGACCAATATATTCCTAGTCTAAGTGTGCCAAAGGCCGTGACTAGTAGTAGGCAAGTATGAAACGCATGGAACATAAATAAGTAAGTCGATAGGGTGTAGAAACTATGGTGAACAGCATTCTGCTAAGAAAATGTTAAACAATGAATCTAAATATCCAATGATCCTGGATTAATCAAAGAAGTTCCTAGCCTCTATTTCTTTGAAATAAGTCAGCAAAATTGCAATTGACACACAATTTATGTCCATTCCTCTTTCTAGTTCTATAATGGAAAAAGTGATGTAAATTGCCATCGAGTTCTCATTTCAAGCATTGGTCCTTAACACTAGACATGTTCCTTGCTTTATTTTTCATATCATAACAGTATAATGCCAGAAATTCACAGTGATAATAGCAACTTACAGGTCCAAATGACTTCGAATCCATGCTAGAAGCAGCATTGTCCCCCTCAACCCAACAATGTCCTTCTGGAATCTTCACCACATCATGGTTATGATAATTGCCAAACCATTCACCAGGTAACGCAACTATTCTCTTTATGTGTGTCTCCTTGTGATTCAATGGCGATCTACAGATGTTTTGAAATGCCAATTCAAAAAACAGAAACTTAGATCTCAATTGTATATTCTGATTAAACATGAATTATCTTGGTAGTATTGTTCAATATCATAATTAGCATCTCTGCAAGCAAGAGCCAACCAATGATTCATGAATACAAGTCAAAGAATAAGAGGTCATTATTGTATATAGGCCAAATAGCACACATTCACATTATGAACCATTCATTGCCAATAACATGTACTGAAATGCAATATTAATCCAAATAAAAGCTTGCAATGGTAAAACAATTTCAAGGTTGATGGTGGCTAGTTTCTAGTTCAACAGGCCCTATAGCTACCTGCTGAATTTACTTCCAGAATCCAGATATCACATACCAAAGTAAATATGGTATATAATACAAAAATGCAAACAAAATTTTTAATAATGTTAATACATAGAAAAGGGTGGACAAAAATAATACCGGAAGACCACCACATCGCCATGAGAAAATTTGTAGTTATGGAGGCAAAATTTTTCAACCAAGACATAGTCATCTGCAGCATAATCAATGGTCAAACAAAATCTGCAATTGCAAAAGTAATTTTTCTTACAAACTCCTTTAGCAAAAAATCAAATACCAAAAAAATCTTCCGTCAAAGAACCGGCTTTAGGATTAAAGGTGGGAGACATAGAGCCACCTCTAACTGGAATAACAGTCGCATAACGATCAGACACAGTCACTGTAATGAGCCCAGCCGTGACAAACTTTTTAGTACAGTTCCAAAGAAAGCTGATTGGCCTCGTGTTTAGGTGCATGCCTATTTCAAACAAACACCAACCATCTGCACCCAGCTTTCCACAGCAAAAAAATGAGAAAAAGGGCAACTGAACATTGAAAAACCAGTAAAAACACCCTTAACTAAAAAATTACACACCGCCCGCAAATATAGCAGCGCAGTTTCAAATCTCAATGAACAATCAAACATTAACAACAAAAAAGCAAGAAAAGCCACGCTATGAAGCATCAATACGACATGGAACACAAATACAATGAAACAAGGACATGGAGATAAACCAAATTTTAAAAACCATAGAACACGATAAGTCTATAATCCAATGTATAAAATCAGTCTAAGATTAACATAAAAAAATAATTTTAAATCAGGAGAGAAATTATGTTTTAAAAATAATTATGACTCATATATGCATAATAAACTCTAAACATTTATCTAAGTATTGCAATATTCCAGTTAGTATTTGTATAAAAATTTCAAAAAGGAGAAAAATATATAAAAAATTGTCTACATAGTCATCATTAGAAACGAAGGCAGGAATTTAGACAAGAAGAAAAGCTTAAGTTGAAGTAACATCAATCAGAAGAAGAGAATAGTTATGAGTTATGTATTTCAATTCTAAACCAATAGATGAAGTTAGAGTGAGTTAGGAGACGGAAAGAACATTGAGTTGGCTGAAACATTTAATCAAACAGCTTACACGCAAGCAAACGGAGAAAAGGAGATAAAAGAGGCGATGACATCATAATCACATGTTCACATTCACATCGCATAACTGCATATAAAGAGAAGAAGGGGATTTGCATTTATACACTTACAGGGCAATGAATGAGAGAGAGTGAGTGAGCGAGAAGAATGGTGGCTAAAGAAAGCTTAACACTGACACGAGACTTCAGAGGAGAACATGGTTTCTGCTGAATAATATAATACTTCATTCTTATATTATTAATTATATAAAATTTATTAATAATAGTATTAAATTATAGTCTATTTTAAAAATAAAATATTTATTTAGTATTTAAATAATTATTTTATATTAATTTAATTATTACAAATTATGATATAAAAAAATTTCTCAAATGACATTAAAATGATTATCTATAAGTTATAAATTGAAATTATTATTATTTATTTATATTTTAAATATATAAAATATTGAATATCATAAATATTTAGAAATTTATATTAATGTACTGTATAATTTTTTAGAAGATTTAAAAGACTAAAATATAAGTCTAATTTATATATTTATTTGTTCATATTTTTTTTCATATTATAATAATCACTAAATATATGTAGTAATTATTAATAAAATAAATAACATTTACTTATCCACACAAAAGAACTGATTTATAATATGTACATTAAATTTATACTGATGTATAATTAAAAATATTAAATTATTAAAAATTATTAAATTTAAATTTTTTTTTACTCTCTTTTATTCATAACTTTTAAAATTATAATTAAATGAAATATTTATTTATAATAAATTTTTATTCACTGGTATCATCATCATCAAAGTAAGCACGTTTTTTTTATATAAAATTAAAGCATAACATTTTTACCTCGTAATTATACAAATATTTGAATCATAAAATTGTATTATTTTATTGATAAAATGTACCAAAAAAATAAACTTTATTTAAATATTTTTTACTAGGAAATGTAGAGAGAAACAATTTTCATTTTTTGCTTGAGTTGTTATTTTGTATAAATCTCTTTATTTTTCATCTATTTTAGTCTCTTTTATTTATGCCTTTCAAGTGAATGAAAACCAACACTAATTACCTCTACTTCATGAATCCCTTTGGAACGTTCTTTGAGAATGCTTTTTTCTTAATTCAAATTGGGAGTGAATATCTACTTTCATTCCTATGAATGTTCTCATCAATTTAGTTCTTTAAGACTTTTAAAATATCACAGAATTCTTAATGTTAACTTTTTGCAATCTTATTAGTCTTTATCATTAAGTGAAATTAGAAGGAGGTAACGGATTAATAAATTAATACGTTAACGAAACGTGTATACATTTAAGAAAACAAAACTATTTCCAATTGTTTATCGTCTCTGTCACTCAACGTTGTATTATTCACCTCATTGAAAATACTATTCATCGTCGTCTCTCTTCCCTCTAAGCTTTCCGGTATGCTTTTTTTTAAATGACCCTTTTGTATTGCTACGTGTTAATTGTGGAGAAAACAAAACTTTTCTCCCGTTTATTCGTTTAATTAACAAGTGATTTTCCCAGCAAATGCTACGGTGACAAAAATACTTCGAGTGCCAATGAAGCATTACAATTGAGATTTGGAGAAAGAGCAGGGAGAAGGAAAATATCACAAGTGTGATAATTGCTTATGAGATTGCGTGACGAAGAGAGTTAAACAATTGGAAGTGAGAAAGTTGTAATCTTTGCGCTTCATTTTGAGTTTGAACCCAGCAACGATGTGCCACAGAGATGAGTATGAACAATGTTTTTCACTGGGTTGAATAATACAACATCTGGCAAGAGAAACAATCAATAGCATGACATCATTTCGTTGAGCCAACTCATTCTTTTTGTTACCTTTCCTTAACATCATTTAACGCTAAAGATTAATGTAATTGATGATAGCTAAGTTGAAAACTAACATGATATTTTAAAAATCTTAAGAATTAAATTGATGAGTCGATACAATTTGAGAAAGGAAAGTGGGTATTCATCCTCTTGTTGGAGCTTCCATGGACAACATCTGCAATGTGCAAAAGAATTATTTAAAAGTATTCTTTTATGGGTGATTGCTGCTCACAAAGGTGATTGTTGATGGCGGTTCAGTGAGATGGGGTTGAGAACATTTGGTTGATAATTACTCAAATTACTGTGAGTAATTGGACATGATTGGAAGTGGGAGGAGGTGATTAAGTTTTTTGAAATATTATTTTGTTTGAATAAATATTTTTAATTTTACGGTTGCGAATGATATAAATGTATCACTTGCCCGTATAGCATTGGACAGAAAACGTGAGGAGAGCTTCAAAAATATTTCAAGGCACCTATATGCAACATATCTGATTCTAGGAGAGAATGAGTGTAAAAGAAGGTAGAGTTTGTTGATTTGTTAAAACGTTTTAACAAATAAATTAAATCAAATGGAACGGGGAAGAAAATTAAATTAAATCAAGAGATTTATTTATTTTTTCATTTTCTCAAATAATAATAAGAATAAAAACATTACCGAAAATCGGGTCAAAGATTTGTTTTACCCCTACCTCAGACTGGCAAGGCTGCTTGTTATCTCTTGGTGTGATAGGCCTTGATGAATAGTTTGCAGATAACTAGGCATTAATTAGTTATATTGCCAGTCCAATCTATAAATCAAAACCAAAAATGCAATGTTGAAAGATATGTTGAAGCTGTGAACAAGAAAAGTTTTAAACTAGTGAGTAGTGAGGTCTTAAATTTAATTCAAATGAAATGAGTATATGATGGCACAAGGTAACATGTATGTACAAATGGATAAATTCCTGCATAACTAAGAATCATATAAGAATTTGAAATTTGAAAGTTTGAATGAGGTTCTACTGATTTGCAATCACTAGAGGTGAAGATATGACATGAATATAGGGTCTGCCAATGAGAGGCAAACTTTCTACGTACATAAATAGTCTCTTCAAATTCTCCTTGTTGATTGAAGCCAAGTCATTTATCTCACTGCTGCTAATGTAGATCCAAAGGTCATTAGAATTTACTGTTTTCAAACTGTCCCGACAGAAAGGGCAAGATTTAGATCTTCTACGCCTAAACCAACAAAAAAACAAGACATAAACATCCTTAGAAGTGAGAAAAAGCCATCGAATATTAAAAGATATGGTAACAGATTTACTGGTTGATACCAAGTTTGGCCTTTGCTAGAAATTAATCAAATTGACATCACAAATATCTTTTGAAAAAATTATTGTCATGATATTTCTGATGTCACTTGAAAATGTTTCAGGAGAATGAATGTAATTTTATTCCAATGGACTAGATGGGAAACTCGATGTGCAATTTGGCAACAAATGTTAAATGATCTAGAATATACCAGTTATAAATAGAAGTATTGTAAGAAAAAGAGAAACATTAGACAGAATGAGAAGACACCCAGATTTCATGTTTGTTTGAGATTCTTGAGAACCACAAATACCCCAATAATTTGCCAACTCATTAGATTGAAATATGAGTGTAACCCACATCCCACACTTCTTCACACAAGTGGTAGATTCTTTCTTCAAAATTCAATTCTATTCTAGGCCTCGATAAATATAATAGGTTTTGTTCTTCAAGACCATAAGTTAAAGAGTTCTTTTGGCATCAGTCATAAGTCATAACTGTTGAATTATGATATTAGATGAGTAAGTATGTTTTGTTCAATTGTTTTAGCCTTAATAACATTTTATCATAAGAAGTATTCTGTAGTAAAATGATGTCACAGTGCTCACCAGTCTCGGTAGCATTTCATACACATTGAATGACTGCAATTGGGCAATACAACCTTGTTGTTCATCTCCATGCAAATACCACACTCTTCTTCTCTCTCTCTGTCAATTTCAGAAAGCTTTCCTTTGCTTGTCAAATCTTTGCGCTTATACTTGGTAGCACACAGATGTTTTTGTTTCCGGTCTTCAACATCACTGACTCCTCTGTGAAGTTGCAATAAAGAGGGAAAGACCACACCTGTTATTATAGTCATAGTGTAAAAGCAATCATATTTGGATTGTGAAGCACTTCTATAAAAGAAGGTAAAGATAATAAAGCTTATCATATGAATACATGGCATGATTCCAAACAACAATTGAAAGCCACAGTTAAGTTATACTTCGATATGGTTATTCACTTACCATAGAACTCCTTCAAAGTGGCTTTTCTTTCATAAATGGATATGGTTGTTTTTCCATCTTCATATGCCTGTGACAAACCCAACATGTATCATTCACTAGCATGGCGACAAACTGATAACGTTGGTAGTGTTTCTGCACTATCATAAAAGTGGCAGGGTATAAACCTTGTATATAAGAATTCTAAGCAATCCTAAGGCTCCAGCAAGGTGACAATCACTCCACTGAATCAGAAAAAGGAAGAATTGAGCAGCTGGACTGTAGGACAATCTCATTTGGAAGCAGGCACCATCGCGATCTCTTGGATACTCAGAAGCTCTGATTCGTAACATATTTGGCACAAAGAATGGGTTATAAACATAAGATAATGACATTTGGTTGAGAAAATTTCAATATGGAAACAAGGAAGAAAATGGGCACTCTAGTTTCAGTGATAAGCATTTAAAGTCGGCACATAAAAGCTTCTTCATCCGATGTTGTTGTGCTAATGATACAACATAAAAGTCTACACTACAGCTGTTTTCAAACCGAAAACAAAGGTTTAGATATCTTACAACATTAAAATGTAAATAGAATTGGAAGTTAGGAGTGCCACAGACAATTTCAAACATGTCCCGTGTTGTTGGTGCCGAGTAATCTGACATGTTTTAAACGGCCCCATTCAAAAAATGAAATTTTTATTTGTTAATATAAATTGAAATGTGAAGGTTTGCACAAATGCACCACCATTATACCAAAAAAATAAGTAAAAAGGTACACTTTAATAAACTTGATTGCGCTCCCTTTACAAAAAAGAAGGCGAAATTGCCACAAGCTGAGGCATCCCCGCCACCCTACGGGAAAACACCAAAAGAATTGAAAAATTAAAACTTTTTTCAAAAAGAGGTTCAATACGGTGAAAGAATAAAAAGAAAGCAGAAAGCCAGACTAAAAAAGATTGCTGGTGTTTTCTGTTTTCTTAAACCATATTTTATGACAAACATATACAGCATACATCAAGCTCCTTTACTTAATATGGTTGCTTTTTCTTATTCTTCCCCTTCTATTTTACTTTCCTTCAACTTAATTTCCCATTTTGTCTACTCCAATTAGGCCTCCACCTCAAGCGTACAAGTCACTGGTCTTCTACATCAGCTTAAGCATAGTATGAAATTATTTTTTTAAAAAAATATTACATTATAAAATGTAAAGAATACTAAAAAATTGGATAAATTGAACAATCAAACTAGAATGGAAAAAAGAACAGAATTTACATCTAAATAGCTCCATACGAGATTCCATCCATTATAACCCACAAATCACTTCCCCCAACAAAATTAAAATTAAAATAAAAGACCAGAAATTTAGCAACTTTCTCAAAAAGCCAGATATTTTTGTGAAAAGGTTATCATCAAAATTCACATAATTCAACATTCATAACCGGAAAAACTTGCTTGGGTTTAGATTGGAAAGAGACAGAGGGACAATTAAATTACAGTGTATTGGCAAAGTGGATGTCAGCTTCAAGAGCTTTGAGGGAATCCTTGAAAGACTTGCGCATCTTTCCTCTTCCTTCTTTCTTCTTCTTCCTTCTTTTCAGTCCAAACCCCATTCACAACAAAACTAGTGACATGATAAGCCCACAAAACCCGTGAACCCTTCCTAGTCTTAGTCCTATATGAAACGGAAAACCCAACAACAGAGTAACACGTTTTACCTGCGAAGAATAAACTAACAACACCCTCCTCGTACCAAACCAAACCAGAAAACTGTGCAGTTTCAGAGAGAGAATGGGGAAAGTAAAAAAAGTGTTGGGCAGTTGCTGGGCTTTCGCTTGAACTACACGGAAGTCATTTGTTTTGCACATACTGACATACATAACCATAACTACATGTGTCTCACGTCATGCTATGAGTTTGTTCACAAAATTACCAAAATGCCACTACCCTTTTCCTCTCGAGATTCATGCAAGATTCATTTCGCTCTTTTCCCTGTTATCAATGTTCCACGAAAAAATCTTACTTGCTTCTGTGCTCTTTTAATGAGTTCGTATCGCTTTACTTTGGGAAATATATTTTGAACCATTAAAAAAGTATGTGAAGGTACCTTTTTATAAGTGAAATTAATTTTTATTAGTTCAGATAATGATTCAAAATGCAACAATAAAATTTGCGTGTTTTACAATACAATAATGACTCATTTCAGTTTGAAAGTTATATGATAAGATCTACATTAATTATCTTTTGTATAGCTTAAAATATTTTTAGTATCATAGTGAAATGATAAAATATGGTACAAGAAGGATTTCTCCTCCCAAAGCTTTACAATTATTTTAATTTACCAATCTTCGTTGCGTTATTATTTTTTTACCAGCTCACAGCGGCCCAAGATATATAGCTAGCAAAGGGAGTCCACTAAATTACTAATATTTGAGGAAATTTTAGAACTTATTAATGAATTAGTTTATTGACTTTGTAATTTATTTTTATTGAAAAATGAATTATATATCTTATTAAATATTCTGGCTCCACACTCGATTTAGTGAGACCCACATATAATTCCCCTTTGTGTGTGTTTTTGTTATTCAACAATTCACCTTGTGTAAGTGATATGCGAAAGAGAGTATTAAAAAGTTTTCCTAGCACTCCTCTTATTATTATGTTTTTTTTTTGTAGGATTGTGCCACGTTGAAAGCAAGCCAAGAAATGAGACAATGATTTAATCAGCATCTATAGCAGTTGGAGAGGATACATATTTTATGTTATACAGTCAGATCATTTTATTTTCAATGCAAATTTAGTTAATTAAAAGGCTTTGTTAGAAGTTGTATCCACTTTAATAACTTTCTTTCTATCTCAAAAAGGAATAATTTTCGATTCTTAGCTACAAAATACTCTTGCTGTGTGCTCAAACACACACAAAAGAATAGTTAGTTAATCTTCACGCTACACAGAATCTAATCCTAATGCAACTTGTCTTTTGTCCAGAACAAATTTGGATTCCTTGCCAAAAGAAAAGATAAACTTTGGACTCTACTTGCAAGCAACGTGGTGAATCAGTTGTTCAAGAAGCTACACTTTCTTAATCTTGTGGATTTTAAAATGAATGTTGATTGATCATCAAACATTTCAATTTTTTATTCTTGTGGTAAACAACTACCATATCAATTTGATATACGTATAGCATGAACCATTGGCAATTTCTCCTTGATAACACGTGGCCAACAAATGTAGCTTGTCATTGACCATAGTTCTAGGCTTCCTTGCTGCTAGTCTTAAGAGACCATTAATTGAATAAGTGGTGATCTAAACAACTTTTATTCGGAGATAACGACATGCCAACCCCTAATAAATATGAATAGAAAAAGGAAAAAAAAGAAAAAATGTAGCATAAGGTGGCATATCAATACTAGCACAAGTTAACTGTTGCTTGCACTAGACTACTCAAGACCTACTCTCACGGGAAAAAAATGACAATATTTGACATGTTTCTTTTCCCATATATGTTTTCTTGCATGTAACAGTTGTACACTTTTTTTACACATACTAACAATGTTTCCCTTCTTTCTCTAGACTACAAGTATGCTTTGATACTCTACTTCTTGGCTCACTTCCCTAGAATAAAGCTGATAAACAACTGAAGATTCAGTATCATGCCAAGTTATAATTTTGACAAGCGTGAAATATAGTAGAAGCAACCCAAGAAGCTTTTCATGCACCTAAATGCATTGTCTATTGGAAGGAGCTACTTTGGGTGTATTTGAAAATACCAATTAATTAAATATTTATTCAATAAACGATTTAGAAGAAGACTTATCTTATAAATTTGACTACAAAATTTGTTGAAATAAGTTAAAGAGAGCTTATTGTGATAAACAGTACTGAGAAGTTTATTAAAATGGGCTAAAAATAGCGTATAGGAGCTATAACATATTTTCATAAACTCTCCGTAAGCTTTTCCAAACACTTCTTTAGGCCCATATTCCATGTAATTACCCCAAAGTCAATGGTATTGTTTGTGTTATTACTAAAAATATTATCATTTATGATATGATAGACAACCTATTGCATGCATAAAGGAACAACACCTAATTGAATATTTAAATTGCATTACATTGCAATTAAGATTTGAAGGGGGTGCATCAGTCTTGCTATTCTGATGGAACAGATAAGCGTTAAAGTGTACGAGTCAGCTAGCTAAGAATTTTTCCACATAAGGCATTGATCTATAGGAGAACATGCATTTTATACTTCATCAGTCAACAAAGTACATCATATCAATTTTGTGTAATACTAATATATGACCGACAAGCATATTAGAGGCAAACCAGAAAAGTTGGCAACTTCAATGGCTCTGAAAGGAAGGAAACAATATTAATATGATGTGAAATACTCTTCTATACCTATTATAATGACTTCAAACACTGAAAACATAGAAACTGTGGTTCTTACCTGCAAATAAGAAAGCACTAGAAACACCTATCTATTAAAGGGTGCCAAACAAGACACTCATGAAGACAGACTTCAACACCATATATGCCCTCATTTTCCAACTCATCTTTTAAAAGGGCAATCAATTTGATTAAAACAGCATCACTAACTCCTTCACAAGGCTAACCAAAGAACTTTTCTATGAAGAAAGAATAATGAACAGTTCAATGACAAATAGAAAGCATAGAATTTCTATGGAAAAATTGCAAACACAAGATTTTATACAAAATTGAGAACAGATCCTTTACAATAGGAAACTTCCTAAGAATGTGGTGTCAACTATAGTATATGGTATTCAATGAGTTAAGCCAGTCTCCATTAGTTGAATATTTGCATGTGAAAATAGATATCTTCCTCCGAATGCTTGCAACACTGCTGACAGAATGTATAATTTGGTTGATCACATTTTAGGCTTCAACTCTTAAGAAGGACCTTACAGTCATGTAATGATGAAAATGTGAAACATTCTTACCTCCATCATTTTTTAGATGTTAGAGAGGATTGATATCATCAATTGAGATTTCTCTGGGAACCTTCAAATTTAAATGCTCGGTATCCCATCCCCCACCTTTCAACTTTTGAACAAAATCCTCAAACCTATCTTTCAATTCCATTATGCTATTAGCAAGTTGATCACAAACATCACCATTGCTATCCCAGTTCTCATTTAGCCAGAAAGTCTGCCACACACTACGCAATACTGAGGCACTTGTAGCTCCAACCTGCAGCACGATTGTGAGTGGGAACTTTCTATAAACCAAGTAAACTCATAACACAGGTACTCCTAAACTACATAATAGTTCTAAACTTCTAAATTCCCCATCTAAACACTTCCTTACTGATGGTCAGACCAACTGGCATTCTCAAGTTGCTGCTTCTCCAATTCATTTGTACATTACCATTTTTTCCATGACCTAAATGCTTTTTCCTGTTTCTTTACAACCTTGCTAAATTACCATTTTTTCCATGGCCTAAATGCTTTTTTCCTGTTTCTTTACAACCTTGCTAATGTTGTTTAGTCCTATAGGCTTTCATATGATTACTCCTTCTGTACTTCAAAATGCCTTTCCCAAGGGTGCATGCATGCAACAGGCCAAGAGGAAAGTGCGGAAGCAAGTAGTAGCTTAACATTTTTTTTCCTTGTTCTAATCCTGTCCCCTTGGAAAATTGGAAAAGCAGAAGCTCAAGGACTTGAAGACAATGCAGCAGCTACAAGCCCCCTCATGCCACAGTCCTTTGGGTTGAAGTATGGACAACGAGTAACCCTGTACCTTGGGCTAAGACTCAACTTTAATTAAAGAATGGGGACAGCAAGGATCAAACTCCCAACCACTAGGTCATACCAGCTCTAACACCGCATCAATGACCAACTATCCCAAAATCTTATATTAGATAAAAAATCATATCTAACAATAAAATCCTGGTAAATCATACCTTGAATGAAACATAAAACTTCAAATCTTCTGGTTGCTGGTTCACCATAAGAATGTATTTCTCATTTGCATATAATTTTAGAAGTGCCTCCACCTGCCTCATTATGACAAATTATATGACTTCTAGATGGATTTATATGAACTATAGAGAAAAAAGAACATGGTTTCCTTCATAAAAATGTGACAATAGCAGCAATAATTATCCTATACCATAAAATGAGATCTCTCCACACCATCTATTTTGTCCAGGGGCGAGCCAAAAATCATTTTTGGCTTCATGAACTGTGACCAAGCTAATATATTCTCTTCCCTGTTGCAATCCATGCATCCTGAAATAAATCCACCTGGAAAATTGAACATTATTGTGAAGGGAAATAATTCACACAGCAAAGCATTGAATTTGTCCGAATGTAACCTGGAACAGTAGAGTGTAACACATGTGATTTTACCAGTATGCGAGCTCGCTTAAGATTGATCTGTAAAAGAGTCAGACACAAAAGATTAAAAATAGAACAAACCAATCATTAGAATAAATAATGGTGGATTTTGTTAGAAAACAATCATCACAAAATAAGGGATGTGATTAGATATCCCGTTATATGTATCTGTAAATTAGGGATTTATTTTTATTCTTTTGTATTTATGATCGATTCTGCTGTACCCTCTGTGATTATAAATACAATTCATGTGTGAGATCATATGACACAACATTCATCCACTTTCTCTCTATAGATTTGATCCCCCACTGTTGAGGACACGGTAAGGATGCTATTGTAAAATTGTGCCTTGTTGTTTCTAAGTCTGAGAATCATGCTACCATGGATATGTACGTAAACCACAAAGCAAGGAAAAAGGAAACATAATAATCATTATATTCATGACATTGAAAGTCAATACCATTACTTCTCCCATAAAGGGATATGTAAACTGATAAGAACCTTGGGAGAACCACCCCACAAAAGCTAGCCATTGTAGTTGAAGAGCCCAAGGTCTTATAAACCTTACATTAGAATCTCATACTTTCAATGTGGGACTCACGTCTCATACTTTGCAATTGGATCCTAACAGCCCACCACGCTCTGCAGCCCCAGCGCTTATGTGGGCTGGCTCCGGTGACTAAAACACTGCAATGCCAGTGTCACCACCCATGCTGCTCGTTTGCAGTGGAGACATGGTGGAAGGTTCTGATACCAATCGATAAGAACCTTGGGAGAACCATACCACAAAAACTAGGTATTGTAGTTGGAGAGTCCAAGGCCTTATAAATCCCACATTAGAATCTCATACTTCTAATGTGAGCCTAAATACCTATACCTTGCAATTGGATCCTAATATAAACTCAAATTTGAAGTTTCTTTCTACCAGTTTGCATGCATACAGATTTTTTTGCATTAGATTCCACACTAGCTCATGCACTACATGCTTACTGTGTTAAACTGGAGAGCTGAAAGTGATTCGTAGCGTAGCCAAAGATGCAGAAATCGCATACTCAACCATGTTAATGAAAGTACACCATAGGATTTTACAAGACCAGGTGTATCCTGCAATCAAAAACTAAAAGCAAGTAACATGGCAATAAACAGCATCTCAGTGCCAGGAAATAAAGCCATCCTGAAAACCTATGTATTATACCAGAATCGATATGCCCAAAGCAAGGCCAAGCAGTTGAGCAGCCACTTCCCAAACTTCTTCCTGAGAAATTTTGATGAAACAATTATATGAGGAAAGCCCTTAACATATTCCAACCAGTTGTATATCAAAAAAAAAAAAAAAAATCAAATAACTCCCCTTATAAAAGAAGAAAGGTAGAATTCATAAAAGTCAAATCAATCCAAGATGTTAGACCTTGATAGGAACCAAGAGAAAATAAGTTTGAAACTGGATGAAAATAATAGAAGTGTTCCCAATGGTAGAACAGTATTATTGAAAAACAGAACAGAAAATGGAGAAGAAAAGTATCCGCTAGGGTTTCCCCTTTACAAAGGATCTCTCCTTTTACCTTCCCCGATCTGTTTCTCTTATTCATCTTACCAGTCTCTACTAATTATTAATTAAGTAACCAGTCTAACTAACTAACAGCTGTCCTTATTCATCCTTCATTATACATTTTAGCAGACCAAAAGGGAACTTGTTAATGACAATTAGTGGATGTCAAATAACTGTTTGGACACTAACATTTGTATTAACCAATTCATTATAGGCCCAACACCTTGACTTAGCTTTCTGGCTCAATGATTCTCCCAAGAACATATTAAAAGTTTAGACAACCTGACCTGATATATGTAAATATGAAATCAAAAAATAGATCATTAGCATCTAGATTAATATTTAGTTGTAAACTTGTAATTATATATGACTATCAGGTATATTATGCATAATATATTATAAAAAAAAAAAAATTTAACATTGCAAATCGATTTTTTTCTTGGTAAGGAATCATGACAAAGGAATTTGCAAGGATTGTGATTCCAAGAGAGAACCTTACTAAACAAGATAGTGTCTTAGTCCTCGATATTCATTTTAAGATTAGTAAGCAAAGAATTTGACAAATTATTGTTTTAAGAATTAAGTGGTGACTACTTAAAGATAAGAAACAATTGGACTTTCAAAAACAATTAGTAGAAAAAGATAGTTGGACGACACAAGGTAGTGCTAACATTATTTGGGACAAAATAGCTATAAAGGTCAACAAAGTTGCTAAGAAAATTTTAGGTGAATCATGGTGATGGAATGAAAGTGTGTAAGAGAAGATTAGAGAGATGTGTTTTAAAACTTTGCATGTAATAATGCTAAAAATTGAGCAAGGTATCGGAATGCAAAATATAAGACAAGAAAAGAATTGAGTGAAACATGTTCTAAGTCTTTTCAAGGGTTCTATCAAGATTTTGGAATAAAGTGTGGCGAAAGAAAGATTTATAAACTTGTCAAAAGTAGAGAAAGAAAATCGAGAGATTTGGATCAAGTTAGATGTGGAGCAAATGGAAATATAACAGGATTAGAACTGCAAGCGAATGATCTAAATTTAGAATGGAAAAAGACATCAAGAGTTATTCGTGATTGTAAAGTATCTATCAAGCTAAAAGGAATATTTTATCGTACTACAATACGACTAGCTATTCTATATATTAGTGAATGTTGGGCCTTAAATGAACAATATGAGAAGAAAGTGGAAGGGATAAAAATGAAAATGTTAAGGTAGATGAGTGAGCACACATAAAAAGACAGGATACAAAATGATAGTATACAAGAGTATAGTAGAGTAACACCTAAGTGGAAAAGATGATTGAAAATCGTCTAAAGTAGTTTGGCTATGTGCAGAGAAAAAATTTGGAGACACTAGTAAGAAAAGTAGATTGCATGACTCTTAGTCAGAGAAAAAGGGAATAAGGAAGACTCAAAAGAACCTTAGATTATTAAAGAGACTTTTTTATTAACCAGATTTCTGTAAATTTAATTTTTGACCGAATTCAATGGCATCATGTGATCTATGTAGGCAATCCTTACCTAGTGGGATAAGGCTTGGCTATTGTTGTTGTTGTTGTTGAGTCTTATGATGTATAGCAATGCATATTCATAAAACCTAGAGCACCAAGCCTTATACTAATTATAACCCTAACTAAACAGGAAAGATATCATGATCTAAGAAAATAAGGCATTCAATCCTAAGAGATAATAAGGAAATGGGGAAACTAATCCTAAAGGATAATCTAATATAGGACAAGATATTTTCACATATTCAAACAAGTATAATATTAGCCTAATTGGATCATCAATTGCTTCCCATTGCCTACTTCTTCAGCTAAGGCCCATAACTTAATGTGATTCATTGGGTCAATGGGTCAATTCCTACCCAAGATCCTTCTTCAAGTTTTAGGATTCAATAAGAAGGTGAATATGAATTATGAAATTAAAATCAGTTTCCATCATTGCTTTAAAACAGGGAGCAACACGCAGAATTTTTCTTGATATGAGAAAATATATTCATGGATCTAGGACAAGGTTAACATCAAAGCTTGAAAGCATGAAAAGTGAAAACAACAAATATCAATGCAGTTTTCATAAAATTACAGAGGCTTTATTGATATATAAATACAAGAAAAAAATTAACCAGAAATTGATCTATTTTTACTCAAGTAATTTATGATATGAGAGGATACCTTTGCTGCTACCTCTCCTAGATTTCCTGAAATTGCAAAGTGGCTTTGAATCACACGAAAAGAAGGATCTTTTAATCCTCTTGCTACAGCCTGTTTGAATATCAAACTCAGAAAATGTTACAGAGCTATACTCAAAAGGAAAATAACAGCAAAAGAAATATGAATACTGAAATAAAATGGATTATAACTCTGATAGTGGAACAATTAAAGCAGCAATACACACTACTGTCCCAAAGTAGAAGCTACTATAGAGAAGTATTTTCTCTATACTTAACTAACTCCATGATTCTCCTCTTTCCCAAATGTCCTCTCTCTCTCTCTCTCTCTCTCTCTCTCCCTTTTCTATTTTGCTATCCTCCCATCCTCTCGTAACTAACTGTCACTATGCCCCTACTCTCTTTCCTCCAGCTCACCGTTCCCCCCTCATTCCTTTCTTATTCTTTCTCTTATAAACTTCCCAAATCTTGGGCCTCTGAACCAATTGTTGGCACATCTATTCTTCTGATCCATCTGGCCTATTTTGATTTGTAACAGAAAGCTACACAATCAATTGTAAACAAGCTATTAAGCCATCCATCTGTATACATAAAGTTCAGAACTACAACTGCAGCTGCTTTTAAATTAGTATCAATGAAGCACAGTTTCTCCACAATTTACGGACAAATAGAATTTGTCATGACTGTGTTTTTCATATAGCACAATCCTCCTTTATTTCGGCAAGGAAGTGAACATGTTGATATTATAGGTTGCTAATTGCATGTTTCGGAGGATGCAAAGAAGAGAGGGAAAAAATGGTAGCCATTGTTTGAGTGTATAATAAAAAGTCAAATTTCAGCACAAAAAGGGGGGGAAAATGACAGAGAATCTATCTCAGCACAAAGAGGGGAAAAAAAAAGGGTACTGACAAATTTTCTGTTGTACTTACTATGTCATATAATGTATCTAAGTACAGAAAATGACCTCTTCCTTTCCATAAAACAAACAAGATGAATAATTTATGCTCAGTTTATATATATTTCATTCCCATTCCTAGTTTTTCTAACTTCTTTTCACTTTCTTCCCTAGAATAGAATTCAATCATTTTTTATTTAATCCCTATACGAAATCTATTTTTTTTATTTAGTCTCCATACAAAAAAATTAGTTAATAAGTCTAGATAAAATAATATTTTCAAAATAGTATCTACGTTAACCTCCATTATGGAAGTGTTATCTCAAATTTATATATTTTTCTATTTTGATCCCTATACATATATTTTTTCATTGTAGTCCTGATACATAAAATAATTTTAATTTACTCTTTACGAAAAATTCAATCATATGAATTAAAATAAATAAAAAAATATTCAATAAATGGACAGAAGTGAAAAAAATAATAATATTTTGTAGAGGTTAGAAAAGAATTTATCATCAAACACAAGTTGAAAATTGTTGTATTTCATGATACAGTAGATACACTATAACAGATGATTTAATAATTTTAAACCACTCATTATAATTTAATGTGATTACATAGATTATTTTGAGAAGATAGTATTTGAGATTTAAGTATTTTATTTTTACTCATCATGAAAGATTACATAGCAATAATGTAAACTAATTTTCAATTGCTAAAGTCATTTTTTTCTTCATTTGAGAGTGTAATGACAACCTCTTGTTTAATTTCATTCCTTCATTTTATATATTGAAATCTATAATTTAATTTGCTCATACATTTAAGTACAATGGTGGATAAATTATTTTATGAACAACACTTAAATACAGTCCTTTATGTGTTGGTTTCTAACTATAATTTTACCTTAATAACTAACATAATAAAGGTTGATACTAATTTCAAAGATATCTAATTTTAAGTGGAGAAAAACACCAAAAGTAATTGAGGTACTGCATATAAGTTTTATCCTCTTAGCAAACTCTCAAACACCAACTTTTCATAACATTTTTATAACTACATTAATCTATAGTTACATTATGTAGAGTTAGTATATTATCTTTTGTAAGCTGTCATGAATTATCATAACTTCTTTCAACTTGTTTCGAAGGTGAGTTTATTTTAACTTCTCTACATAACACTTTTTTTTCAGTTTAGTCCCTTTACATAGTGCAATTTTTCATTATTGTCTCTACAAATAACACATTCTTTTTATTTTGATCCATGTAAATTAAATTTTTTTCATATAAAGACTAGAATGAAAAATGTGTTATGCATAGGATTAAAATAAAAAAATGTTTAAATATGGGAAAATGGTGTAATACGAACGTTAACAATATCCAGTAAGAACTATTTTAAAAATATTTTAGTGTTTAAATTCAAGATAATGGTGTTTAAACCTTATTTTACTTTTCTCCTTGAATATAAAAAGGTTATAGTAAGAAAGGGTAGTCAGAAAATGGCATTTTCCCAAAGTTAATCATTAAATGTTACTTTGAATCATTTATATATTTGCAATATTAAATAATAATTATCTATATGCAATAATTTTTAATAAAATAGTGTTCCTTTTAATATGCAAAGCTGCATAATAAAGTACCTTTGTAAGATTTCCAAGAGATGCCAAAGGAAGGAAATAGGCAGGATATAGTTGGGTTGATAGATCAAAAATGCTGCAAGAGATGTCATCAGTGCAAGGGTCTCTCTAAACCCAGTTTGTATTTGCATATTTCTATAAGAAAACAAGGCATGGCATACTACTCAGACCTTCCAGCACTGCCAATGAAGTCCGCATACATTCTCCATTGCTTGGGATCATTATCAAAAAGATTTCCAAACCGTCCACCTGAAAAAAGTAGCAACGATCAGCTAAGAATAAAACTTCAGCATATAATCTTCTCCTTTCTTTAGCTTTCTTCATCATTGCCAGACCAATGAATAAGCGTCCAACAGCTCCAATGCCATCTTTTGAGACCCACCTAAAGTTATAGAGCGTCCAATCAATCACATAAAAGTCATATTAACATATAAATGGCTGTATGAAAGTAATTAAGATAATATTATATGCATATAAATGCTGTATTTGTAGACAAAACATAGGGTCTAAAATTTATGATTCACCTGATGGCTGCAGCAGAAGCAGCTGCTGTGGTTCCAGAGAAAGAGCCAACACCAACGGCCTGAAAGTACAAATTTTGACAAACCTTTGCACAATCACAAGAAACCAGAAGAAAAACCTTCATTTAAAAATTAAAAGGAATGGACAAAGTTTTTAAAGGAGATGGCATTCTAGTATATAAACATACTTTTGGAAACTTTAATCAATATCAGAAAATGTATTTATCAGAGATAACAGAACAGGACTACCCCCAATGACTTTCGAGATTCCAGTTTAAGCACATGCACAATAGGGCTTTGAGAAGAAATATCAATTTTAATGCTAAGCAAGCCAAATGCACAAAAAGAACCATAGAAATTAGCCAAATATTGCCAATGTAAACATTCTTAAGAAAAAATCAGCAGTTTGAGCAAGATTGACATGCCTTTAGGAGACTTGAAGTGACTAGGGTGTGACAGATCCATCCAGTCACATTGGTAGGGAACTGTAATAACATGTATTGCAAGTAATCATCTGAAACTGATCCTGCATAATGACAGAGAAGGTAAGTAAACAAATGGTTTGCTCCAACTTTACTTAATCACTGAAGTTAAAAATAGAAGTTTCTCTGTGAAACACCCGCTAAAGTTTTTCAAGTTAATCACCAGGAAAGCCTGCTGGTAGGATAAAATCTTTGATTATATCCGGAAGCCAGGATAGCCTTTCATCAGGGGAATGCAAAGCAGACATATCCTCCTCAACAAGAAAGGTTTGCAGCTGCAAATCATCATCTAAAACATATCTGCTCATAAGTGAGAAAAAGTCAAGCCTGGTTTGGAGAAAATGGCCATTGTGAAATTTACATAATTTAACAAATGGTTATGTTATAAAAATTAAAAAGTACAAGAGGTTACTAGAATATTCCTAGAAACAAGCAAACATAGGCTACTATTTCCTTTTGGTTCATAGTTGAGGCAGACATTGTAATTATATTAAACAAAGCAATTACTATTTCATTTATTTTTTCTAATGAAGTAATAATCAATGTGTATTAGAATTCCATGGTAACCCCAACTTCACAACAACTCCAATGCAGTAACCTTCATGAATGTACATTGAAAGAATTTTAAAATATATACATATACGATTTTTCTAACTTATGCAACGTTACAAAACACAAAATTCAATACAATTCAATAATTGATACTATTAAAATTTACAATTTGCAAGAAAAAAATATCATTTATTAATTTTTTATCACGAGCGATGTTGCACTGCATATATATAATAGAAAAGGTAAGAACTCAGAATATGGTATAGTTGAGCAAAAACCTCTTAGCAGTACCATTGCTATATCTCTCCACCAATATAACCCGCGATGAAACTTGACCTCTGAAACCACACACGAAAATGAAAATGAAAATGAGTTTATTGGGACACTGAAACACACCAAACTCCAAAGCTTGGTTTGATTATGTCAAGTGATTCCAAAATTCTCCAAATTTTTTATTTTTCTCCTTCTCTACCACAGATAAATTATCTAAGTTTTGCTGATTGAAATTGAACAATGCAACCAAAAGGTAATGCGACATCCTTTTCTTGTCCACAACAGATAATGTATCTAATTTTCTTTATCCTTCATAAACCAATTAATTTTTTGGTGAAATAAAAAAAAAATGATATTTTTCCAAGAAAAATAAACCCTTTGAAGTTTTCACAGGCAAAAAAAAAAAAAAGAAGGAAAGGAAGAAGTATCAAACCCCTCATTATGAGCATTATCTTCATCTTTGGAAGTGGAATGCTCAGAAGAGCATAGAACTTGAAGGCATCGAGTTCTAACTCTCCTCATTTTCATCCGTTTCACTTTCACTAAAGAATTGAATGCACTTGAAGAAAATGAAAGTTGCAAGGTGTGAGACATTGGAAAAAAACAGAAAACTTCGAAGCTTCTAATGGTTGAATTGTGGAAAAAGTTGCAAAATTTGATGAGTTTCTTTGCTTTTTCTTTTATGTGTGTAGCTCAAGTTGACACATTTACACACTATCTCCATATCCAAACTGAAAATGAAGGACAAGCCATTAGAGCGAGACGGGAGACGGTTCGGGTCGGTTCTTCTACTCGAATCCATTATTTAACCCTAAAAGGAGTTAGCATGGGCCCATATCAAATTTTGGGCTTAACTGACAGCCTGGCCCATAATTTTCACATATCAGATTCAAGTAATCTGATAAGCTAAGATGACCTTGCCCAAAAAGAGAAAGATTGACTACATGGACTCTTCCTGTTAATTGGGTTTTCTTGTTCGCTGTAAAATATTCTCTTCGTTTTTTATATTAAAAAAAAAAAGGTTTGTTGAAACATTTAATCAGTATTTTTATTTATAGTTTTTTTTATTTTGTTGGTCTTAAATATTAAGATTTTACATTCATGTTTTTTCCCATAACACTTTCGCAAATGTTTATTTATAATACAGCTTGATAAAATTTAAAATAAAAAGGGTATTTTAAAGATATAGTATTTTTTATTTATGAGAAAATGTTAAAATATTTTTAAGTATATTTTAAAACAGTAATATTTTCTTTAATCACTGTGAAATTTTAAATATGTTTTTAATCAAAAATAATTTTTCTTTAAAAAGAACAAAAAACTAGTCCTTAAACTATGTTTAATTTCCTTTTAGTTATGTTTATTATAAGGCCAATTTCAATACAATATACTATTTTAATCATTTCAAATTTTATTTAAATATAATATTATCATGCAATTTAAAAAAAAAAATCTACAATGAGTTAGGTTTACCTTTTCTCAAGTGTATGCATGGAGGAAAGGAAGAAAAGGCAACAAATTAACTAATCAATAAATTAATTTCACAAAAAATATTTATGAGAGATAAAAAAAAATAAATCAAACTTCTCTAAACTAAAATCGATTATGCTGTTTTTTAAAAGTTCTTTTAATTAATTTTTTTAAAATATGAGGTGTATAAACTAAATTTAACATGTAAAAAAAAGTAATTATTATTTTTTATTTCTTCTCTCTGCAAGTAATTTTACTTAAGATTTCTTAAACTAAATTGAAATAAGTATATCATTTAACATAAGGAAGGAGTTCAAAAGCACTATGCTTAGTTAGATGATTAATAAGCTTAGTAAAAAATAAAAAAGCATGTTTAATATAAATATTTTTATTCTCATTATAATAAGAAAATAATGAACATATTTGATTGTACGTTATTCTTGAACTTATGGTTATATTAATGCTATAAAAGTATAGTTTCAAAAAATTATTTATTATTTTTAACACGAAATGAAATGAAATATATATTAATTAATAGGTTATACAATTCTAGAAATGAACCATCCTTATGTTTAAAAATTAATTTGTAAGATTTTGAGTTAGACAGATATATAATATTACAAAATTTATTAAACTACAAATGAAAAATGACGTGTTTGATGTGATATATGAGGAAACTTAAACACCACGGAGATCTTTATTAATGGGTCACAAGCAACCTTAAAAGCAAATTTGAACACTAAAAAATTTTAAGGTTATTGAGTTTTAGTTCCTTATCACATATATGTTATTTGACTTTTTCATCCCTTATCTAAGGTAGGACTTATACTTAACATCAACAAACTTCACTTAAGTAAAAGTTTCTTTTATTAATTATGTATATTACTCTTTCCACGAAATCAACCACCCTTACAGCGTAAATTTTTCTTAACTATGTTTTTAACCACTCTCATCAACTCAAACCTTTTTAACCATATGTATTTAGTTGACACAACAGCAGTACACTCACCCTTGCCAATGTTCATTTCAACTTTGTACAGAAATTATTGCTTATCAATGGGACACGCTACGTAAATTCCATATTATCAATAAGACTTTTGATAGTCACATAAACCTACCACCAATTCTCAATACTTGTTTAGGTCAGTTACTTAGATAAACATTTGGCTCTTATACCACTTGTTGTGGTATATGAAGGGACTCAAATACTCCTATCAATAGGCCATGAGCAATCTTATAAGAAAACTTTACCAAACCTAAAAACCTTAAGTTGTGGATCTTTATCACTTATATGTTATTGCACTTTTTTATTCTTAATCTAATATAAAACTTATTTACTTATATTTAATCTCAATAGTTGACAACAATTTCAAACTTCAAGATATTACAATGAAAAAGTTACTAAAACTCCTAGAGACCATGTATCATTTTTAATTAAGAGTGTTTTTATATTGATTTAGATCAATTTTCAGATTAAAAAACATTTAATATGAATATAAAAGTAATAAAAGTAAAATATAGCTCAATTTAAATTAATGTAAATAAAATATTACACTTCATCCAATTTTATTCATTTTATTATTGACTAATAATATTTAAAATACTACATTATGACAAATTTAAATTACACACTTTTACCTATATTCTTTTCTTTTCTTTTTATATGTTTTCCTCACCTTACCAGCTAATTTGTTGACTTTTAGCTTTTTCCCACTTAAACATACGACTGTCATTTATTATAAAGACCAAAGTTTTCTTATTCTAAATATCATAAAATTTTGATCTTTTAGCCCTTAAATTGACAACATACATGATTCAAGCGTCCTTAACAATACTGCAATGATGTTGGTTCTCGAGGTATTTTTGCTCAACTATACAGGATGGTTTTGCTTAAGGCGAAAAGGAAACAAGTATAATAATTTATAAAGGATGTAATTCGGTTTGAACTTTAAAAAAAAAGATCCAAAATTAATCAAAATCAAAAGTAACTTTTCAAGTTTTCAATTTGTTTTGTTTAATAGTTTGATTGCTTTTCAATTTATTGAAATTAGTTTAGTGGATTGTGTTGGATTTAAATTAGGGGTTAGAATTATTGTGTGAATTGACTGAACCTATATTAACTAAAGCATGCAACACTTATAGTGGTTGGGTCAAATAAATTGTTAGGTTGTAAAAACTAAAATTATAAGTTTAAAACGGTTATAGCTAGTTGACTTGGAATTATAGATTCTAATTTGGTCGGTATCTGACACTGAACGAGGAAGCGTACGTGCTCGGGTGCATTGATTTGGGTGAAGATCAAATTGACGTCTACAACTACAAGTATGCCGCAACAGTCGTTAAAGGCTTAAGGTCTTGTCGAATCATGTCCACTGTTTCAGCCTTAAATATTTTTACAAATCATTTTATTTACCTTACATGACATACACTACATAACACACAGACTTCTTACTACACTCTTTTACCCCACTGCCCCTCCATCTCTCTGCCTATTGTCTTTCTTTTATTTGTGTATCTCTAGTTTGGTTAGAAATAAAAGGTACAATGTCTATATTTCTTTCTATAGTTAAGTGGTGTAGCAAAAAGCCCTAGTTCAAAGAACTGGCTGTTTTTTATTTTATTTATATTTTTTTAATTAAATTTGCTCACTTATAACAAAAATTAATTTTTTTTATACAATAATTTAAGATTAAATGATCATGTAAAAAATATATTATTAATTTATTTAAATTAAATTCAAATAAAAAAATAAAATTAATTGAATGCTTGTCTAACGTATTAGTTGTTCGATCACACAACGGACAAGCAATCACATTGACATTTTTTTTGTACGTCGTAAACATAATTATATATATAAATTTATATTTTATTTAAAAATATTTACAATATTAAATAATTAAATTAATATATTATACAGTTGATAAATGTATATATATCTACTTTTATAAATAAAATATATATATCATATTAACAAAAAAAATTTACAATAAATATAGATATAAACAATTAATAATTGATATATTTAAAAGGATCTTTATTTTTTATAAATAGCACTAAGTATATTTTAGCACATTTTAGATTTTATTTTTTATTTTATAAAATTAGTAAATAAATATTTTTTTCTAGTCTTATTAATAAATGAATATTTGGTTAAAGAATGTGTATTTTTTTAAATTAATATAATATATTTAAATGTTAAGTGATATAATTTTTAATAAAAATTGTAAAATATTTATTTAACTTTTTATACAAAAGTTTAAACATTAAAAATAATGAAAACAATATTATTTAGAATCTTGTTAACCCGTGTCATAATTAAAACACTTGTCTACAAATTAAAAGTAAATTTTTTATTAAGAATTATATTGAATATATTAAAAATTACAAAGAATATATATTTGTAACATTTTTAATAAAAACTTTATACTTCTAATTTCTAAAAATAGTATTTTCCTTTTATTTGTTTTTATTTATTCTATAATAAAAATTTTCAATTCATTTAAAATTTTATAATTATATGAAAAATATATTTTTTAAGGGAAAATTTTAGGTAAAATTCATTAGATGTTCTTAATGTTGTTTATCAACCGAAATTTGAGTTTTAACTTGATAACATATAACAATATTAAATATATCTAATTTATTAAAATAAAATTTTATTTTATTTAATAAACAGTTGTAACAATATCTAAAAATAATATATAAATTTTGTCTCTTTTCAAAATCATATCTTACTGTCACTTGATAATTCTTAAACTGTGTAAATAAGATAATTAAAAAAAGAAATAAAGGACAATTCATTGTATATAATAAATTTTTATTGTTTTAATAATAATTTAATTTAATTTAAATTCAAAAAAATTATAAGCTCAATTTCTTAAATATTTTTAGACTTAGTTAAATCGAACTAAAGATATTCAATTTTAATATAATATTCAATTTTAATATAATTTTAAATTTTAAAATTTAAATCTTATATTCTGTCATGAAACCAGCTCATATTATTGAATTTAATTTTTTTTAGTAACTTTACCTTTTAAGTCAAAAGAAATAAATTAAGGATAATAAAACTTAAAAAAAAAACTCATGACACCCTCACCATAAAAATGGGTGACGTGTAAATAATTTTTAAAATGATATAAAATTAAATATAAAAAATATTATATTAAATTTTTTATTTTTTAATTAAACTAATTATTATTATTATATATTTTTTACTTATTTAAATG